AAGTCGAACAGCCTGGTTAAGGTCATTCCTTTCCATTCTCAAGTCGAACAGCCTGGTCAGGGTCATTCCTTTCCATTCTCAAGTCGAACAGCCTGATTAGGGTCATTCCTTTCCATTCTCAAGTTGGACAACCTGATTAGGGTAATTCCTTTCCATTCTCATTGTTAGTGCCCGAGGGGGTGGGCCTCGAGGTTATGGATCTCATTTCTGTCTTGGAGGTTAGAAGGTGGCCATCTCATCTTTTGCGTATTGTTCTCTTTCTTCCATTTATCACAATAATGTACCATCCATTCCATTTCTCACAGTAATGTATTATCCATGCATACATACGACTTAGCGTCTAACACTCGAGTTGGGGCTCGCGACCCCAAGCAGCACTAGCTCACCCGGCCGTTCAACCATAGCAAGAGACAGGGGCGCCCCATTTTTTTCTTCACTCGTTCCGACGACTCAGATCTTTGACCATTCTCAGACTAATTCACGACTTGGTTGGATTAGGCTCATAGGGAAGGAGTATTCTTCACGCCCCTTAACCCATAGGTTCCCTAACCTCTCTTGTACTCGACCAATCATTCAATGTCATGGTTCGCTCGTCAATCCATACTCAAGGTTTTCTCCTCTCAAAAACACAATGCTTATTCCATCCAGAATTCACAATACATCCTCTCCCAATTGGTCTCATCCCAAATCGCATGTCTTTGTCTTATGTACCCATCTTAGAAGGTAACTCATTCAAAAAGTAGCCTAAAAAACTATCTTCTATCTTATCCTGACACAGCCTTAGCTGACCCTCTTTTCACTTCATCCTTAGCAAACTTGCCCATATTGTACACGTTTTCGTCATTCTCATGTCTTTGTAAACAGAAAAGCAGCGATCCTTTTCAATGCTAAGTCAACATCTAGTTCCTATTGCTGCCTTGCGCCTCATCTTGCCCCGTTCCTTGTCCACCCTGTTCCTCGGCAAACTTCCTAACGCCTAGGCCGTAGGTCTCGATTTCTCTCTTCTTTCTTGCAATTTCCTGTAATTCAGTTTCACTGAAGAAGTCCAACGGCGTAGTTTTCGCCCCTGCCTTTGCGAGTCCCCGGGTCTTGATAATCCATTCGTGCCTGATCACATTGGTCCATTGCTCAAACCAATGACTGGGTGTTGGCCCAAACTCGTCCTCCCATCTGAAAGCCCTGTCGCCCGACTGGTGCATCGGAGGCCGTCCTTCTTCCCTAGGCCTTGAGATCTCATCCCTCTCATCCCCGCTGCTGATTTCTATGACTTCTTGTACATCCTCCTCCTCGTCCTCCTCGTCTTCTGTCTGTATGGGGCTATACCCACCTGCTGGGTTCTTCGGATCGTAGGTAAAAGGAATCTCTGTCCCCGTCCCATACCCCTCACAACTGTCGTGGCCGCTTCGTCCTTCAAGCGGGCTTTCCCTTTCTCCCTCCTCGTCCTCTCGCTCGTAGCGCATGTCTTGTCTCTCCTTCCTTTCCTCATCCCAAGGCTCACGCCCTTCGCATTCCTCGGCCCTTTCTTCGTCAGAGGCGCGAGCCTTGTCTCTCATCTCCGTGTTGCCCCATATCCCATATTTGCCCTTTCCCTCTCGCCTTCACTCCCAGATGAGATTTTTATCCTCTGTCCCTTCCGGAGGGGCGAGGGTCTTCTGCATAGGCACTTCCTTCCACCTCTGCCTACCACCGGTCCGCCCATGAGCCCTTTGTACAACTTTCTCTTCGCAGTTCTCCTCCCTTGGCTTGGTCCCGTTTCTTCCCCTCCGGCAGGCCTGTTGATTGCCCCGCTGTCATTCTCGTTACCGAACTCCATTTTTCTTTCTTTTAGACCCTGTATAACAAAACAACACCCGCAAAACCCCTCATGCACCCATCCCCCCAGTCTAGCAGCCAGTTTTCCCTTTCCCCAGAATGCTCCCAACATCCTCCGCGCCATGCCCCTATTATACATGTGAACGCGTCGTTTGTGATGATCCCAGCATTCCCCCGTCAACATTATGATACATTGCTCCCGCCACTCCTTGCGGCCACCAAAAAAAAAACTGTTACCCCAAACTCCCAAGTCATCACGCTTCTCAACCTCAGTCAGTCCAACCCATTGCCCCAGAGAAAAAAAATCGACAGTCCCATGAACGCAGTCAGAGATCGAGCCATTGTGATAGCATGACCGTCTGTCAATCCTTAACTTGTTGTTCCTCAGTTTCCTTATCCTCGGCTTCCTGGAGCCATTGTTCCACCGGGTCCCGACTCAGAAACCTGATCAACCGTTGTCCTGGGAAGGGTCCTTTCTGTCTAGTTCCATCCAGGTCTTCTAGTGCGAAGGTGTTCAGTCCCACCCGCTTGACGACCCGGTAGGGGCCTTTGAACCTCTTCCCCAACTGCCCAGACCATGTACTCTCTAGTGCTGAGTTTCTTAGCAATACCATTTCCCCCACCTAAAGTGGCTCCTTTCTGACGTTCTTAACCTAGTCCCACCTTGCTTTGTCTCTCATTCTGCTGTCTATCACCCGGTTGGCGATGTCTTCCATGACTTCTTCGTTCTTAAGGACTTGTTGACACCTTGCCTCGATTAACTCTTCCGTAGTCATTCGCAGATCATCATCTAATCTGTTCCAGGTAGGTATCAAGGCTTCGACGGGAAAATCGATCTCTCTTCCGTACCATAGTTCCGCTGGGATACATTCTGTTGTCCTTTTAGGTGTCATGTTCTCTGAGAAGACCGCCTGCTTGACGTACCTGGGCCAGCTTCCCAGATGGTCCGCCGCGAGCTTTGCGATCGTGTTCTTTAGGGTTCGGTGCCCTCTTTCCACCGGTGCACTGACCTCTGGATGATATGGCTCGATGAGTTTGATCGGCACGCAAAGTCTCTTAAGCATTCCCAATACTTCTTGATTCACAAATTCTGTCCCATTGTCCGCTATAAACCTCCTGACAAAAGGATGCCTCAAATAAAAGTCTTCTATCCAGTCGGCCATACTTCTCCCGTTTTTTTTTCTTGAGGGTGACCGCCTTCACGAACCCACTCAAGTTGTCTCGCGCATCTAGAATATACTTGTACCCGTCGGTTGACACAGGCATAACCGCAAGGTCCAGGTGGACCAGATGTCCCGGTCCTAACACCCGTGTTGGTCTAAGTAGCTCAAAGACACGCGTCGAGCTTCTTTCCTGGCAGATGAGGCATGTCTGGCAGTACGTGGTGACCATGTCTGCCATGCCTGGCCAATAATAGAGTGGTGCTATCTTCGCCAGAGTCCCTTTTGATGATCGATGTTCCCCCGCCAAGCTGCCGTGCATTGCCTGAATAACATCCAACTGCCTAGATCTACCGCACACGACTCTTCTAGGCATAGTTCCTTCTTCTCTTCGGAACAGGTGACCCCCCCTTAGGACGTACCTCCCAACTTCCTCCCTTGCTTTAATGACGACTTCCAAAGGTTGTTTGTTTCCTACTAGCAACAATCCGATCCCTCGAAAGATCCCTTCGTATGTCCGAGCATAGAAAAACTCCTTTTCTTCCCGATCCACCTTTTTTTTCTCCTGCATCTGGTTTACCAACCATTGCAACTATTTCCTTTCCCACGATTCCACTAGGCTCATTATGGCTTCCCGACCCCCTTCAACCGTCATTGCTATGAGTTCTTTCTTTGGTCCTACTATTGCTCCCCACAAATCCCTTTCCTCCTTACGACCTCGAGTAGTGACTGGTCCTTCTCTAAGTTCTACTACTATGGCAGGTGCCCCCTTTTTCAAAGTCCGAATCAACAGTTCCCCAGATGCGCACCCCTCGCCCATCATTTCGTTGTCCATCGCAAGAGTCCCTCCTTCGAATTCAAGGAATGCGTCTATGGGCTCCGCATCCTCCACCTCTTCGGGAGTGATGCAAACCCGACTCAGCCCATCTGCCTTGTTGCGGATTCGAGCAATCCGTTCAATCTTGTAATCGAACTGTCAGATGAATTCTGCCCATCTCCCCACCGTCGGATCTATAGGCCTGTAATTCGTCGGATCGATCCTTAAGATGAACCGTCTCCCAAATAGGTAGGCCTGGAAGGTCTTAAGGCAATGCAGGATGGCTAGGACTTCCTTCTTGAATTGCGAGTACCGCCGTTCTGCGGAGTTCAGGGTTCTACTTTCGAACCTAATTGGCCTCTCTTTTCCTCCTTCGTCCCTTTGAATCAGTACGCCTCCTACGGCCAAGGGCCCTCCATCTGTTTCCAGGATGAATGGTCGTCCTACCTCATCATTAAAGCAGGGCGCCAACAAAGCGACCTGCTCTGACGTCAGAATGTCCTTGAGGGTCTGGACGGCTCCCTCTCGCTCCTCCGTCCAGTCCATGGTCCTTTCCTCTCTTATCATAACCCGGATAGGCTCCGCAATCTTGGCAAAATTCTTAATAAAGATTCTCCAGAAACCGACCACGCCTAGGAACGCTCTCACCTCCGTTGTAGTGCGCAGGGGGGTTGGCGTCTGTTATATCTTGTCCGTTTTCGTCGGATCTGGCTTCCTACCGTAAACACTGCAGCGAAATCCTAGTATGGTTACTTCTGATACTGCTAGAATACTCTTTGGTCCACTAATCGTGATGTTGTATACTAGGAACCGGTGGAGCAAGTCCTTGATATCTTGTAGATGGTCCCATACAAACTTTCGGATTCCTGGTTGGACTTCTGTCTCGTCCTTCTCCTGCGCGCCTTTGATCGGATTGTCGTCGATATAGGGTTCACACTTTTCTGGGAACATGTCCCCGACTACGGCTAGCATTCTTCATTGCGCTTCGACTACTGCGTTCGTAAAGCCCATAGAGGTCACTTGTATTTGCAACTGGCCTACCGGGGTGTGCATTGCGGTGTACGGTCTGTCCCGGACATCCAATGGAAGCTGGTCATATCCCGAGTACAGATCTATTAGGGAGTAAATGCTTCGTCCGGCGTGCGATTCCGCCAATAGATCGGCCTGGGGTAGCGAGTCAGCATCCCATATGGTCACTGCATTCAGCTTCTGCAGATCCTAAATCCACCTTAACGTCTTATTGGGTTTTCGAAAGACGAACCACCGGTTTGCATATGGCGACGCCGTAGGTTCCGCGACGAAGGAGTCCATCTTTGCTCGAGGGAGGTCTGTCACTTCTTCCGCTATTCCGAATTCATATGACGGTCCCTTGTCATTCCAACATTCATGCTCTACCGTGTGGATTCTGACCGGAGGGATCAATTTTGCGTCTAGCCGCCCCTTCTGATGGTCACTAAAGGCAAATGCCAAATGAAACTCCTGGTAGGTCTTCTTGATCAGGCAGTTTTCTTCTTCTGTTAAGAACCCGTCTATCCCTATCTTCATCGTATAGGCTACCTCATCCGGTATTCGATGCCCTTTCGTTGCCCTCCTTTCCCGGATCACCTGCAAAACTTCCTCCTCCTTTTTCATGGCCTCTTCCTTTGATGTCTCAAGCAGGATCGATACCGGCTTTGCTTTCTTTCCTACCGGCTTGTACTTTCGAACACTTCCTTCTGGGATCTTTCTCCTAAAAAATGAACGGTCAGGGATTGCCCTCGTTGCTTCTACGACTCGTGGCTGAATACTAACTAGTTTTTCATTCAGGCAATATCCCTTTTGTACCTCTCCTTCAAATTTCGCCAAGGTCGTCGGGTCCACTCCTACCTTGTGGTATCTGAGGGCCTTGATGAACTGCAACAAATCGGGGATCTCGAGCGCGATTTCCGGCACGTCCTTGCGCACTTCGCTTTGCTTGGGCAGGCTGGCCCCAAGCTCAACTTTCGTCTCCTTTTTTGCCACCATGACACCTAAGATCTCGTGCTCCTTCCGCCTCTTCTTCTGGGGCAGGCCCATCTTGATCCACTCTTTTTTGTTGAATACCTCCTCAATCATTATTTCTACCCTCTCCCTCATACCTTCCATTCGCGCGAAAGCCCCTTTTCGTGCGCTATCTTTGAACGAAGGCGACCACGTGGCCATCTTTCCCTTTGGAGGGTCCCCTCCTGTCCCCAGAAGTCGGAGGAGCTCTCCCCGGCCGATCACTGGGTCCTCTATGTCTACCATGTACGTGTCGTCGTGCAAGTGCATGCCTATCATTTCCACGTTTGCGCACTATGGCCTCCCGAGGATTATATCGTGGTCCATTTCCTTCATTACGGCCATCCGTTGAAATGACCAGATTGACTCCCTGACTTCTGCTTTGACTGCACATTTCGTGACATACCCAGCAAACGAGATTTCCCCACCGGCTCCCCGGATGCTCCCTGCTACTTCCTTATTTACCATGCAACCCATGACTGTTGCGAAATCTTTTCTTATGAGAGTGATTTCCGCTCCCCCATCTACCAACGCGTCGGTATGATGAGTCCCAATCTGAACCTTCAGTTTTTCTACGGGTAGCGCATAAAAACTGAGCTTTGTTCGAGGAGGTGCCCTCATGACCTCGCCACCTTCCCTGTCTGGTAGGCTTAGGCGGATGTCTGCAAAACCCTTCTCGAGATCTTCCAGATCCCCGCAACTCCTTTGGAGATTAGCGACTTCTTGTGGAGGTTCCTCCTCCCTTTCCTCTTCTGGTAATTCGGGGTTCTCGTCTATCTCTACCCGTCGCCAAGTCAACAGTTGCCTAAGCCCTTTAAGCAACTTAGGGCTGGCCTGCAACATCGTCTGAAACGACACCAACACCATGGTTCCTAGTAGCTTGCCAAGGGTGTCGCCGATCTCGGACATGGATAAGATCGGGATTTGGTACCTAGACTTCTTCTTGGCAGCGGTAACTTTGTCTGTAGGCTCCTCTTCCCTAGGTTTTCCATAGACCTTTTCTGGTTCCTCGGCCTCAGGCTCTGCCTCTGCCTGGGGTTCCGAACTTCCAGCAACCTCCTCCATCACGGTGTCACGGATAATCCTTCTCCCATCCGTCCCTAGCTGAGTAGTCGCGTTTACCCTATCTCGTCCGTCATTTTCCAGAATGAAGTTGACCTGTGGCCCGCGCCCCCAGAGTTGATCCCATATGATCTCGCCCACCGGTTCGGCTTCTACGACCGTTATTTCTAACCCGTTGAGCATGATAATGGTTCGCCGCATCCCTCCTGGTGAGTTCCAGTTCACCCGTTCCCCTTGTGGTCCAAATATCTCCCCTTTTAATGACCTGGTACACCTCCTTTTCAGTATGTCATGGTTGAGCTTTGGACATGCCCGCACAAAATGCCCTACCACGGTACAGTATTTGCATTATGCGTTGGTGGGATCTCTCCGTCCATATCCACGATTGGCTATCCCTGGCGGAACTAATGCTTCCTGGGGAGGGAGGACGGGTCGGGATACTTGCGCCTTCATAACCAGTAGCGCGCCCTCCATCCTTTCGATTTTATTGTCGACCCCGTGCACCCGCTCATGTAGACTTTCAATCCCCTTCTTTACCTTGTCGCCCGTTCTACCGGTCAGATCTATGACCTCACCTTCCTTAAGCAAGGCCAATGTCTCGGTCACTACCGTCTTCTCGGCCAGATCCGTTACCGTACTGAAATCAGCATCCCTAATGTTTACACATTTGCTCGTCTGTTGGTAAGCCGACAGGATCTTGTCCTTGTCGAACTCGGAGAACTGTCTGAGAAAGTACTTACTCATTATTCGGTCTGTAACCCCGGGGATTCTTAGTGCTACCAAAGTAAACTCCCGTAGGAAGTCATTGTACGTTGCGAAGTTCTTCCTCTGGACTGCCGCTAAATCGGCCTCCGTTGCCATCTTCTCTGCTGCCAGATACTTTCTCATCATCACATCCCGGGTTTCTTCCCAAGACCGGCTCGCGGCCACGATGGCCATTATGTCCCGTCCTAGGCTCAAAGACACATGCTGCCCAGGTGGTCCATCTTCTCCTCTTCGGTCCACTTTAGTAACACAACTAGGTTCCCGTAGTCGATCAGGAACTCCATGATGTTTGCTCCATCGAAGGTCAGTTTTTTCTTGGTGTCTGCTAGATAGCCTTGGTCCTTGTTCAATGCTCGTGCAAGGGATGATACTATCTTCCTAAGGTCGCCTTCGGAGCTACTGGCCTCGCCTGCCATGCTGGTATCTGACCCTTCCTTGCTGGCTTTCTGCCCCCCTCTAGTCTTTGCCGTTCCTTCCGGGTCGAACCATCCCAACACCCCTTCTCTGAGGCTCCAGAGCCCTTCGCATCCTTGCGATACCGCTCGCGAGGTCGGCAGACGACTAACCCTACTGTCTATGGCTAAGGGGTTCGCAGTCTTCTCTGCCTCCATTCCCGGAGAGTTCTTTCTCTCTTTCCTTCTTTTGCTCGACGTTCCCCCACGACCACTACCCTTGTCCCCTTGCCCAGTTCTGCCCCGACTGGTTTTCCGTTCGACCCGCAGTACCTCCTGTAGAGGGTCCTCCTCGTTCCCAATCATCATTTCCTCAATTAACCTTACCTTGTATTCCGCGGTCATTTTCTCTATCTCTGCTAGTTTGCGCCTCGCTTCTGTGACCCTTACTTTCTTAGACACAGCTCCCTCCGAGTTCCCGGGGCTCGTCCTATCCTTATTCCTGCCCTCCTTGTTTTCCTGAGTTCCCTGTCTGCTTCCCCCGACTTTTCTTGAGCTCTCTCCCGAGAACATTTCCTTCCGGTTCCCTTTGGTGCCATTCGGATTTGTTGATTCCCTGTCTTTCTGCCCTTCCTTGCTTTGCTCAGCACTGCTTCCTAAGCCTGGTCCTCCCTCGCTTTCATGATTACCTGTCTCATCCTCCGTTGCCATACTTGCCTACTTCTGCATAACCAAAGGATTCCCCAGAACAAACGCAATGCGAGGCATTTAGGTTCCCTAGGTTCCAATCCTGTTGGTTTATCCTTTTACTTGACAATTAGGCTTTTCCCCATTCCCATTTTCTGATGGTTTCCTTAATATGGAGCTGCGTCCGACTCTGATACCTCACCGAGCTAAGGGCGTGACTTAGCTTCCCTTATCACCGGCTCGTTTAGAGCACCCTTATTCCGTTGGTCGGTGCGTAGGGGTCCGGGTTGGGCAACTCGCTAGGAAAAGTTTTCCTGCGCAGTGTTCCTTGTCTGGCGGTTATTGATCATCTGGGTCCGAGGCCCCCCTTTCCTATTTCTATCGGTGCGGCTTCGAACGTAGCGGATTGTACTTGATTTGCCCTACTAGCTCGCCTGCGGGTGCTAGTCCCGTTCTCGCCTTTGTGGCCCTTCCGGTTCGGTAGGCTCCTCGAATAGTTGAGCCACCGTCGTTAGATAATTCTCCCCTATCTCGATTTCCCTTTGGATTATGCGTTCGCACCCCATCCAGTCTAGCAGGGGCGCACAAAACATCACGATGTGGATGACTTCTAGTAATTCATGGGCCCTGTTTCCCCAGAACGGCCCATGTTCCACAGCGACATCATAGAACATCCCGATGGTCGGAGAGGGAAAGTGATCTGCCCACATTATTGCCGAGTCCGCCAGCTCCCTCGCCCTTGCGAGGCTCCCGAAGACAAGGTCTATCAAAGAACGGGGAACCCGGCACCTCAGCGGTGTGGTCGGTGCTCTGAATTTTCGTCATCCCCCCATTTCCACCCGGGTAAGTAAGCCCACGTTTCTTCTACCCCTGACTGATTGTCCTATCCGGGTCAACGTCGGGGCGGCCCTTCGAAAGACCGGTGCCAGCTCGTGACCTTGTGCTATCTCTATCCCCAACGAGTGCCAGCCAATCTCAGGCAGATACATGGTCCCGGTAACTTTCAGATTGGAAAACAAATCGTCACCGGGTCCTCGATCGAGTCTCATCCCTGTCCACCGACATTCTACCAACATGAAGGCGGCGTCCCTTCCCAAAGTCACGGCCTGCCATTCTATGTCGAATCCTCGATAAGTAGAACTCGACGGGAGGGATACTTCCCATCGTCCACCGTTATTCCAGGGCAGTCGCGGGTACCGGGTACCGGGGCTGGCGTTCCATTCGCACACGGGGCTGACGTTCCATTCGCTCACGTCTTGCTGCCATTGTTACCTTGGTGATTCCCTGCATAGTAAACGTAGAAAGGGTTACAGCCAATCCTTAGAAACCGTCCACCTACTGGTCCCTTGCCCTTCGTGTTTTCATCCCTCTTTTCTAGTCCCAACTATCCCTCCATACCCCCGGGAGCAGTAGCCCCCTCTGACTGTTCGTACAGCGGGTAGAGATCATCTATGTAGGTCGCGCCCCGACCTACCTCTCGCCGGATGACTCTCCACATGGCCTCATCACTTATTTGTGGGACTCCCGACCTAGTATTTACTACTGCTCGTAGAATGCAAAGCACCTCGCGCCCCTATTCGTCCCCGAAAGGCCCCATCTCTAGGAAGGCCCGATAGTATTCTCGATACATTAGTGCTTCGTCAAAATTTAACCTAGTTACGACAATCACCGCCTGCTCCACTCGTTTTATGCCTCCCATTCGTCTTAGCAGGAAGGGTGGTAGACTCATCCTTACGACCTTATTTGGCAGCTCAAAACCCCCTGCCGCGACGACTTTTACCTCAGCCATTCCGTCATCTCGTTTCGGATCTGCAAACTCAAACCCCTCCTGCCAGGTTATTTGCCATGCCTCTTCGAACATTTGGACGGGGTCATCCCCGGAGGCCAAGGCAATCCCAAAGGTCCGCCACCCTTCTTCCGACAGGTGTAAGGATCTCGTCGCATGCACTCGCCCTGGGAGGTCCAAATTTATGCCCCCGAATTTCCCTCTCGTACGCCACTCCAGTTCTATTACTAGATACACCGTGTCTTCCACCAGCTCTATCCCCACCCAGTCCATTACCGAGTTACTCACCACGTTCCTTGATGGCAGGCTTATTTCGACTCTGTCTCCCGATGCCCTTGGTAGTCGGATCCCGTGAGGCCTATCTTCCCAGAACGTCATTCGCCGAGCTATCTCGCAATGCCTCCTTTCCCGCTTCCTTAGTCCGATTGCTGCTTTCGTGTTTTAGTCTTTCAGTACCCACTTCCTATCGTACACTGGTTCCCGCCACTATCCCGTCTCCATGCCTGCTCTTATTTCGGCCTCCTCGCGCCCCCTGATGACTAATGTACATCCCCCTTTCTTATGCTACATCCTAATTCACATGCACCCTCCAGACTCCGTTCTTCCTATGACGCTCGAACTTTGAGTCCCTCTAATCAAACCATCGCACCTCAAACAGCATAAAGACATCGTCCACATAGGATGGCGCGGCCGCCGCCTCCCGGCTAACTATGGCGTCCCAAGCTTCCTCGCTTACCTCTAGGCGGTCGTATTTACCTATCCTCAGGATGGTGATGACCTTACCGGCTTTATCCCCATAGAAGGGCCCATATTTTAAGGAGAACCTATAGAACTCCTCGGTCAGCCAGACACATTCTATGTGTACTTTCCTCATGGAGTCGGCTACGTCTGCTATGTGCTCAAAACCCCCGAACCAGTCGGCCACGAACTCGGGCACCCAAGCTGTTATGCGCAAGCAGGGAGGCCTGAGTTCTTTCCACCCTCCCATCACAACTTTGCTACTAACTTCGTCCCACCCCTCGTTGGCGAACCTCTTGCCTTCTTTTCGGGTTCGCACCTCTGCATCCCCTAGAAGCCACATTGGATCTTGTCTCATTGCTAACATAGTGCAAAACAGGTGTCACCCGTCCTCGGAGAGGACACTTGTTCCGACTGATTTCACTTTGCCCTCTGCTAACTCGTCTCAACCTTCGTCTTCCCTTATCGGGTTTCAAATTCGTTCTATCCATACATATGACAATTCCCGGGCAACCTCAAACCCAACCCAGTCGCACGTGGTCCCTCTCCATTCGTTTTCCGTTGGTATAGGCATCTCTACCCCCCCTCTGAGTCGTTATGGCTCCCATCCCTTGAAGGTGTATTCCATCATCATCTCTTCTCTAGTCATCCTTTTCCCTTCCTACACAATACAAGGCCACCCGATTTTTTTTTTTTTTTTTTTTTTTTTTTCAAGGTCAAATCCTCCTTAGAAGTCTCAATCCTCTATCTCCTCATCCTCGTCCTCATCACTGAAGTCGTCCTCTTTTTCGTAGAACAACTCTTTCACCCCCTCCAGAAATGTCTCCCCTATTGCCACATTTCTATACACTATCCCCCAATGTACAGGGCTAGAGACATAAATATTGTCTAAGTTAAGGCAACTTAGTATCTCAGCCAGTTCGTCCGCCCAGTTCCCCTCAAACGACCCCATTTCTACTGACAACCGAAAGAAATCATGCCCAGCGCATTGGTATAGTCCAAGGTTTGTCATGGACTAACATATCCTTATCAGTCTGCTCCGGGTTCCAAACACCGCATCCACTAGGAAGGGAGGCAGCACGCATCGCATGGTTCTGACGGGTCGCCTCATGCTTCCTCTATCCCCAAGTTCCACCCGCACATCTACCCTTTCCATTTCCATCTCCCTTCGCTGACACGCGGCCCACACAACTTCCGCTTCAGCCTTCCTAAACAGCTCGTCCGGCGCATTCCCGAGTGCCAACTCTACGACCATAGCATTCTCCCCATCTTGCGACAAGTAGACCCACCCCCTAGCTTCCACTGTTCTCCGGAACTCCAAATCCATTAAACTTGGCGACAAACTTGTCAAGCTAACATTAGCCCATACCGTCTCTATCCATAGGAACGCGTCCTCCCCTTCCAGCATTACGGTTTGATATGCTGGTTCAAGGTCCGTCCGCGCCCTATTTTTCGGGACTACTGGCATCTCGCCATTTTGTTTCCGGCACCCGGCCCCTGTTTCCATGAAAGAGTACCAACCGGTTCTTCTGGTAAGGTCAACCTCTTTTCGTAAATGAGGATTATTTCAGACCCCCCATTAAGGTCTCCCTAATTTACCTCCCCCTTTCCTAAGTACCCCCTTTCCATAAT